AAAATTCATTATCTGACACCTGTCAAGTTCAGATTGAGTCTGACCAATCGCTTCTCTAATTATCCTACACTTGACCGCAGCGTATAATTTTCGAGATCGCTGCCCCACGCACTCGCACCGTCGTCACCTGAATCTAGAGTTCGTCGGTTTAGCTACCGTTTGGTTCGAAGGAAAATGGGGCAGAAAAAAAGAGCGAATCAACGCCCCCGGAGCTGCTGACATACTTTCTGCTTGGAATAATTTTGCTTCGTTTAGCTTGTACTAGGGATCTTCTTGGAATGGTTTTTCAGGGACACTTATCCGACATATTTTCTCGAAGACGCAGGGCGCATGCCCCTAGTCCCTAAAAGCATTCCGGTATATATCGAATTGCGTTTGACTCTTCTGTTCTGTTTTCTTTTTTTGATTTGTTGTTTTTTTTTTCTTTTGTGTAAATGTGTTCTACAAATTTGTGACATTAAATATTCAGGGTTGATACCCTGTTTGGATAGAAGTATTAGTTATCAATTGAAATTGAAGCTGAATTTTGTTGGTTTTCTTTTTTCAAACAAAGACATAAATGGAGAGAAGATCGGGTAGATGATGAAGAGCAGAGCATAAACTAAAATGGAGAGAAGTATATGACTTCAACTCACTCTTCTCATTAATAAACTCTCCTAGAATACAATCTTAATTCAAAATTCAAACAATCTTTTACATTAAAAAACAATAAAGTACATTTTAAATTTGAACAATAACAGCCACTTTTCCCGCATGCTTACTGTTACTCTTCAGCCACTTTGCAGCTTTCATTTCATTTGCATTTGAGTTTGCATTTGCATTTCATGTGCATTTCATTTGCTGTTTGCATTTGCTGCCCGTTGCAGCCTCATTTCAGCCTCATTTCAGCCTCATTTCAACCTCATTTCATCAACATTGCAGCTCAGCTTGCTGCACATTGTTGCTGTCATTTTACAGCTTCATTTTCACCATATTTGCAGCTAAATTGCTGCCATATTTGCTGTCAAATTGCAGCTTCATTTGCTGTCAATTTCCAGCCTCATTGCTGCCATTTCATGGCAGTTTCATTTCTTCATTTCTGCAGATTTGATTGCCACGTTTCTAGCAATAATTCCAACAAATTTGTCACTGATTTAACACTATGGGCTGCGCAACTGTCCGGAGTGCCGTTACAATTGCCTGATGCCGCGAGTTACAATGGGTATGAAATGCACTAATCAAATCCAATTTGCATTGGAGAGAGACATTCCATCAACTCTTGGTGTTTTGGGAACAAGAAGACTTCTATATCCCAGCACGCTACAAGAAAATGAGCGTTTTGTGATGATAGAATTGATCACAAAAACTTAAATTTTAGACACAATTTGTAATAAAAAATATGAATTTTTGTAACTACTTCTCCATCATGGAATATATGGTCATTTTCTTGTAGTTGCAGATAAATCGTTTGAACTGCCTCATTGTTCAAGATGCCAAATTGATTGGCTTCAGAGAGATACGGGCTTCTCCTATTGGAACTTAACAAGGTGTTCAGGAGGACTCTTTGCCTAGCTAGTCTTCTCCTGAAGCCTACGAACAAGATCCTGAAAATCTAAGAATCTGGAACGCTATGTCTAATCTTCTTAAAGGAATGTGGCGAAGGGTCATTGCAAAGAGAGGCCAAACTGTAATATACGTGGGCACAAAGCCTCTGAGCAAAGCTTTTATTACAAGATGATGGTGATGGGACCAAAGCTTTTACACGATACATTCTTTCATTTTATCGATGTAGGCAGCCAAAAAAACCTTGAAGAGAAGGAAAAGGATAAAAAAAATTTATTATGGGATGTAAATTTCCATTGTAATTTTTTTTTATTTAGAATGTAATGTAACATTTTAAACTTATAATTTTGACATGTTATACATTCATCTGTTCATTTGATAACATGTTAAACCTGAACGCTTTTTCGGTTTTCCCAACAAACGTTTCCTTTTGCGCATTCTTTAACAGATTAGCGCTTGTTTTTCTTTCTTTTTCTAATACAGTTTGGAACTTCCGGACAAGTGTATGTATAATGAGCTGACACGTCTGAACCCAGCACAGAGTGTTCCCGCTTGCTTCGGTATCTCCCAAGTTCCAAGCCACTGTTGTTTCTCCAACAACATCTCTCTCATCTCATCCCAGAGAGCTGTAAATCTGTAATGGATTCTGAAGCTATTGATGCACTGGCTAATGGTGTCCGATACCACCTCTCTCTCCAATCCAAGGACTCGGAATTAGCTTCAGTTCGCCACAAACAACCGTTTGTGATCGGTTAACTCTCCTCTTCACCCCTCCTCTCTTCTCTTTTGAACTCCGATTCAGATTAGCCATTTCTCTGCTTTATTTATTTTTTTTTTTGTTTTTTCAAATTCCAATCAATTTTTGTTCTTTGAATCTATCAGGTGTTGCCGGTGGTACTGCATCCGGTAAGACAACCGTTTGCAACATGATAATCTCTCAACTCCAAAATCAACGCGTTGTCCTCATTAATCAAGTAATACCTCGGATTTTTTTTTTTTTTAAATAGATGGGATTCTTTTTTGCTTTCATTTTGTTTTTGTTAGATATGTATATTGAATTTGAAAATGAATTAAAATGGTTTTACTCAAATCGTTATTGAATAATTCACTCTTTTATAATAGATATGAATCACTAAGCATTTTTTTTTATCTTGATTGCACAATAAGAGTCAACTATCTTCTATCTCTTATCTCACCATATCCGCATGACATGCAATTTGAACTCAATACCTCTTATTTCCAATGAAAAAAAATAATCATTCAATTATTTAGGTCGTTAACAATCACTAAGCATTTTATTTAGCTGGTCAAAGAAAGAAAAAAAAAAAAAAAACAACGAATTCACTTTGTATTCGTCGTTCAAATTAAATTCCATATATTGATACAATTTTATTTGTAGGATTCTTTCTACAAGTCACTCAACAATGAGCAGCTGCAAAATGTTCATGATTACAACTTTGATCACCCCAGTAAGCATCTAACTCTGTTAATTACATTCATATGCATGTACAGTTTTGTATGATCACCAGGGTGCTTCTAATCTCATTTGCTGTTGCTTTAATTTCAGATGCCTTCGATACTGAGCTTTTGCTTTCTTGCATGGAGAAACTAAAACATGGGCAGGTAGTTAGCATCCCAAACTATGATTTCAAGACCCACAGAAGTGTTGAACCATCACGTCAGGTAGTAGCTAGACAGAATTAGTCAAATGCTAAGAAGTTAATGTCGAAGATTCACAGCTTGATGAATGAAACATTTAGTTAGTTGTTTCTTAAACGCTGCATTTGTTGTTCTAATTAATGTAGGTGAACCCCGCGGATGTCATCATTTTAGAAGGAATACTAGTTCTGCATGATTCTCGTGTCCGTGATCTCATGAACATGAAGATTTTTGTTGATACAGGTTATTGTTTGAGTTTTCGCTAAACATGAAAACATGGTGGCCCATATTTTACTGTCAATTTATACCAGTACATGCATATCATTCTATGGCTTAGGGATCTTATCATAGTTGTTTCCATGTATCCTCCTAGTATGTGCTCTCTGATGATTGTGGTGATATCTCATCAGTGCAGATTCTGATGTGTGTCTCTCCCGGAGAATTAAACGTGATACCATTGAAAGAGGGAGAAACATTCAAAATGTTCTTGACCAAGTTAGTATGATATAACAATAGAATCCATAAATATGTGATGAACAAATTACTAAAGTAGTTTTGCTGTGAGTATATATTATTATTGAGCATTTAACTTTCTGTAACTTGCAGTATAGTAAATTCGTTAAGCCTAGTTTTGAAGATTTTATACTGCCATCAAAGAAGTTTGCTGATATAATCATCCCTAGGGGAGGGGACAATGTCGTGGCAATAAACTTGATAGTGCAACACATTCGTACAAAGCTAGGCCAGCATGAAATATGTAAAATATATCCCAATGTTTTTGTCATACATTCAACATTTCAGGTAATGCTTCTTCTACTTTATTGTACAGGGGGTTTCAAATTCAACATACATACTATACTTTCTTATGTAACAGAGTCTTCATTTATTAAGACTCTGTAGTCTGAAAGTTATTTACATTATTGAAGCAAATTAAAATTGAAGAAAGATGGAAATGTTTAATTTGACTGTACTTCTTAACAGATTCGGGGAATGCACACACTCATTCGAGACGTTAACACAACAAAGCATGACTTTGTTTTTTATGCAGATCGACTGATTCGCTTGGTAAAAAAGGGCTTACCTTCGTAGATATTATTGTGCAGGCATGGTTGCAAACGTAACTAAGCCATCAGCATGATTATTAGTGTCATTTCGTTTGAAACTAACATACATTTCAGGTTGTAGAACATGGTCTAGGCCACCTTCCTTTCACTGAGAAACAGATTACTACTCCTACAGGTAACTGTCAGTATCATGTGTCCTATAATCAGAGAAGTATGCCATCTTTTCTCTGTGACTATTTATGACAAGTATGACCTTCATGCTCATTTCACTTTGTTCATGTCATATATACTGCATCATCTAATGCTATGCGTAAATCTACCTTTTCCTGATCCTCTAGGGTACAAACTTTTAATTAGTTTTCCTTATAGGTCTATTCTTTTTATTGCTTGCAGGATCAGTCTACACTGGAGTTGTTTTCTGTAAAAGTTTGTGCGGAGTCTCTGTTATTAGAAGGTATGCATTGCCATTTTCTATTTAAACATCAGTTATGGAAATGTTAAAGAAAGATATACCTTCACTATCCAAATTCCAAATACCATGAAATAGGCACAAATAATCTGGTCTGCTTAGATTTAAAGGAAACTGTTAATTTGTTGTTCCTGCTGGCTGCTGCTATTAGCTGTAACTGTTAAGATGAAGTTGTAAATAAAAACTCAAACATCTCTTTATCTCAGTGGAGAGAGCATGGAGAATGCACTAAGAGCCTGTTGTAAGGGAATCAAAATTGGAAAAATCCTGATACATGGAGAGGGTAAGAGTGGTCGCCAGGTACTTCGAAGCAAACCACGTCCCACTTATGTCTCTCCCTCTCAGACACATAGGATTTCTCATTTGGCTACAACTTTGTTGCAGTTAATCTATGAGAAGCTCCCTCGAGACATCTCAAGCCGCCAAGTTTTGTTGCTTGACCCAGTTCTGGCTTCAGGTTTGAGAGCATAGACTGATAGCATGACCAATTCTTTGCACAATTCCATTAACTTTTACGAAATCTATGGCCCTGTTATCAGGAAACTCTGCCGTCAAGGCTATATCACTGCTTCTCAGTAAAGGCGTTCCAGAATCACACATTATCTTCCTTAACCTTATAGCAGTGAGACAATCTAGATATCTTGCTGTTTTCCGTTTTGGTTACCAGCTTATTGTGCCTATTTAGTTATGAAACATGAATTTCTTCTTCATATAATGCAGGCACCTCAAGGAATTCATGCTGTTTGTGAGAAATTCCCCATGATAAAACTTGTCACTTCAGAGATAGATGCTTCACTCGACAAGGATTTACGAGTGATTCCAGGCATGGGAGAGTTCGGAGATCGATACTTTGGAACAGACTAAAAGTCTGCAAATTTTGTGCTGGACAAAGAGGGCAAAAGATAGTTTGATACCATTTACCATAGTTTCCTCACAATAGACAGAAAACGGTTGGTTTATTTTTATTTTTATTTATTTATTTATTTTTTTGCCTCTACTTAAATTTGTTATTGCAATTTATACGAATTAGAATATTCCTGTAATGAGTAAAGAGAGTTGCATAATAAAGTATGGTAGATTTTTCATATGTAAAGAATGTGCTGCAATACCTCAATTGGAACAAAAACAGGATGATGGAATTTTGCATTACCATAGACCGAACAAAACGTGAATCACAACCCCGAGTTCTACTAATTTTTTTGAGCTACTCTATAAAATTAATTAAAAAATTTAGAAAATAGGTAGAGACTACAGGCAAAAATCTAGCATGTAGGATTCTTCCTGCTCTTCTTCTTCCTTGAGGCAAAACTACTAGGTCCAATTTCGATGGACATTCTCTTTGTCCTGTACCAAGAAATAAAGAGCCAAAATCTATCAAAAAAGAGAACCAAGAGCTAAGCAAATAAGTAAATCCCTCACCGACAGAAACAATATGTATCGATGTGAAGAAGAAAGTACAATTCTTGCAGTAAAAGAAGGGTGAAGAATCATAAACAAAATAGAGTTAAATACTATACCTGGCAGAGAGCTCTTCAGATTCCTTCTCACCATCTTGAACAGCACCCTCTAATGACAGAAGTTATATTAAAATAATAATAAGAACATATTCTAAAAAAGCATATAGCTGAAAATGGTTTTCTAAATCAACATCATGTAACCAACACTCTAGAACCCATCAAATTACAAATTCAAAACAGAATAACACGGTAATTGTGAGAGGATATTTCAATAGTGCAAAGTAATTTCGCAACAGAGCAAGATGACAAAAAATTTCAACTTAATTGCATACATTCAAACTTAGAAGAGGTCTTTCTAAAGACAGCAAGAGCTGTTCGACCAAAGGTCTAGAGCTTAACGAGCTAATATTCTTGTTTTCTCCACATAAAAATTTTGAAAGCATATTCAAAAACCTTTAACAATCTTTGGCTACAGATACCTCCACCAAGTATAACATCAATCATTCTAATACTTAAAAATAAAACCCTATGTTATTAACCACACTAAAGATAAACTTCACCAAGTCTAGTATAAGATGGGGAAAAAATGATACTCCATTAGAAACTGTATCACTGCTTGACAAGGATGCTAAACGTACCTGTTCCAATTTCTTCATCACTTTCCTGCTCTAACTCTAAGCCAGAATCTGAACCCCATCGATCACCTCCATCATCGAAGTCCCAGCGTTCTCCAACCAGAGGCATCCAGAAGTCAGCTTCTTCTGAATCACTATCCTTATCAGAAGAATTCCTAACTTCTGAGATTATTTCTTCAACTGCCTTTTCCTTCTTCTTCTTCTGCTTCTTCTTCTCCTTCTTACTCTTCTTCACACCATCCACACTTGATTCCAGCTCTTTCTTCAGCTTCTGCTTATCTTCCTCGACTGCTCCATTTGAAAATAGTTTCTCAGTTTCCTTTTGCTCTGTTCACAAGAATTCACCTTTCAGAAAACAGAAACAATCTGTTGTAGCTTACAATTGCTAAAAAGGGCATCAACAAATAGAAGATGTAACGGATTACGAACCCATGAACAGGAAAACAACATTACCTAATTTGTTAAGGAATCTTCTCCCATTGATATGCTTCCAAATATGTTCCTCAGACTTATTGACACTATCACCAGTCATCTTACACACCAACTTTGAACTTAAAAGGAAAACAAAAAGAAATATATCAGCAGAAAACACATGAAACTAAAGAAAGGGTAAGATTCAGAAACCTCTATAAGATTGAATCACACAAAAAGCATATGTTTGTATATAGTTCAGATTATCAGCCACCTAAAACCAGTATTACTTCTAAATTTTGAGAACGATATCAAAATCTTATCTGATGCAAATTTGTACCTCCAAATAGGCTTATGTTTCAACCAAACAACATAACAATGAATACAGAAAGAACCCTAAACCCCATTCATGGAGGATTAAAGAAAAGAAGTGAACTTTGATTTACCGACAAAGTGGGTCTTGCTTGAACATATTGAGAGGGGGTTTACTGTTGGCCAGAGCGAAGTCGATGAGGCCCACACGGCAGCGTTTGCTCTGAGAATAGGAATCCCTGTCCTTCTCAAGCATCTCGTGACCAGTCTCAACGCACTTGAGCCTTCCGTTTTCAAGCTCCTTGAAGGTCGGCGAACCCAGAAGATTGTTCCCTTCCTTCCCGCCGGCTTTCTGCTCTCCGTTCGCCTCCATTGCTGCAGTCATTCTCCTTCAGCCGGTAACCGAAACCCCAAGCCGTCAGACAAGATTACTTCTTACATGACTAGCGAAGTTGCGATGCCTCTGCATACGACGTCGTCTCAACAAGGATTGGCCGATTAGGTCTGTGTTAGATTTCTTGGTAACCCCTCATCTTTCACTTTATTCCACTTGGGACTTTCTTTTTGTTGGTCTTATTGTTTTAGTACCGATTTAATATGGATGTGTTTTTCGGTTTTAGGTTTTGATTTTTATAAATTTTGTAATTTTAAACAAAAAAGGTTCTTTTATTTTTCATGTGTTTTTTAAACATATTATCATGATTATTTGTATAAAAATAAAAATAAAATTTTTTAATACCATTAAATAAATTTATATTTTTTATTATCAACTCATCTTAAATAAAGTATTAACTTTTTATTTTTACATTTAATTTTCAGTAATTATAAAATTTATAAAAACCAAAATTTACAATTATATATAATAATCGGAGCCTTAGCTTTAATGTCCTAATTAAAAAGGTTGTTCGCAGTCCACCCTAAAGAAAAAATGATATATCAATTTTAAGTGCAAAAAGCTAAAATGTCATTATTGAATGAGACATGGAGACTACGGAGGACTTGTTTTTTTTTTCTTTTTTCTTTTTTCCTTTTTTTAACGGACCGACTATAACACTGTAATCTTGTTAGGTTTTTTGCCTTCTGAGTTTGCAAAATGTGGAGGGGTTCTAGCCTTCTAGGTGAAGAAGAAGAAATTTCCAGTGCCAGAAGGCAACTTCAGAGCAATCTACAACTTTGGTGATTCAAGTTCAGATACTGGTAGGAGTCATAAATGTATGGAGTAATGCTTCAGGTTCAGTACTGGAGAGTGTCATGACAATAAAAGTGAAAAAGAAGTATGGTTGCCCCAGTAGTTATGATCAATAAAATCTTCTCTTTGAATCTTCGACCAGAATGCTAACCCTGATAAGTAAATCCTTTCCTCACTTATCTGGACTCATGTGAATGGATTAACCTACAATCCTGAAATTATTATTGACCGATTGTATCACATTGAAAAAAAAAAAAAAAACAAGAGAAAGAGTATTACTAGCATTCCTAATTTTATCTCATGAATAATGCAACTTTTTCTTCTTTTCCTTTTTCCTTTTTCAATGACAATTGACACAAATCCGCACGGCAAAAGCCCCCATTTGCCCTTCAACCTTTCGAGTTTGAGGCATTTTACCCCTCATATTATAATATATGAGTTTTTATCCTTTATGTTTTCGAGTTTAGGGAAATGAAATAAAATTTAATGACGAAAGGTCACGTGCAGCATGTGCATCATTAGCCTCCATCTTTCATTCACCCTTTAGTGCCATATCGCCAACAATTTAACTTGTGGATCCTACTTATTGACTTACAATAATGATATGGAAAAAATAATAATATACTAAAAAAAGTCTTTCTAATATTTTTTTTTCCTTCCCTTTCCCTTTCTCTCTCCCCTTGGAACCCAAGCGCTAGGTTCCTTCGAACCCAGCATGTCTGGGTTAGATGAAACCCAGGCGTTAGGCTTGATGGAACCCAGGTATTGGGGTTCCAAAAAACCCAAGCACTGAGTTCAAAGGAACCCAATGCTTGGTGTTGGCGTGTGCTGATGATGTACGTTGATGAGTCAGCAGCAGTGATAATGTGGAGGCTGACTAGGATGTCACCCACGAATGATGAGGAGAGTCCTTTTGGCGGCACCCATTTTACGTGCAAGAGGCTACGTGCCATGGGCCGTCTTGTTCTGTCCAGTAATGTTGGTCAACAACAAATTCTCCAACAAAGTTTGAAGGTGTAAGTTTTCTAGCCAAGCCGAAAGGGAGAGCTGGCAACAACGATGGAGCTCCAAGATGTCCAATGATGTTAGTCAGCAACAAATCCCCCAGCAAAGTCTAGAAGTAGAGTTTCTCCAACGAAGACTTGGAGTAGAGTTTCTCTAGCGAAGGCCAAAAATAAAGCTTCTCCAACAAAGTTTGGGAGTAGAGTTTCTCCAACGAAAACCAATAGTAGAGTTTCTCTAGCAAAGTCCGAAAATAGAGCTTCTTCAGCGAAGACCGGAAATAGAATGTCCCCAGCCAAGCCAGAAAGAGTGGAGTGATGATGGTGCTCCCAGGATAACAAGAATGATTATACAACTACCAAAAATAATGAAAATGAAATGTACAATGCTGTAGAAATAGCAAAGATAGAAAATATGTAAGGGTTAAAAATTACAACTTAAGAAGCACATTTTTACATAGTATATTGTAGCACAATAGCAAAGACAATGAATGTGCCCTCTGTTATCCTTGACAAATATTTCTACTCTATAATAAGCAACCCTTGCATTGTAGATAAAAGGCACAATGCTCTCCCTCAAGCTTTGAAAAGACAGAAAGAATAAACTTGAAAGTAGTGATGAAAACTTGAAAGTAGTGATGGGAGAAAGAAAGATGACCATTGTGGGGCTTGCAAATGGAGGGCTTGATCTTGTTTTTTATGCTAACTCTTCAGCTTGATCCTTTTGATGCTCATAAATATAACCCAAATAATGAATCTGCAGTATGCTATCTCTTAACCATGATGTTCTGCAAGTCTAGAAATTGTTTAGCAGTACTAGAAATGCAAATAATATAATAAAAATGGTGGTTTTTGGGTATTTTTGGTGCATTTGGGGAGAGGTTGAAGATGAAGGATTTTTTAGAGGAAAAAATGGGAGTTTTGGTACGTGAGGAAGAAAGTTGGAGGTATGAAAACTGTTCAAATCTGCTAAAAAATGAAGGGAAAATAATATATATGTGCAGTGACATTTTTGTAATTTTTGGGTTGATGGGTCAGAGGTGCACAGTGGCCTAATGGGTAGATTTGGGTGAGTTGTCAAATTTTGAGTGGTTTTGGGAATTACTAACAGCTTTTTGGCAATGATATTATGAATTATCCAGTGGTTTCAGCGAACCACCACCAGTTCCAGCGAACCACCACCAGTTTCAGCGAAGTGCTGCTAATCTGCTAAAGACTGTCTATTTTTAGTAACTCTCCAACCATACGAAATTTCATTTTTAGGGAGATAATTGAGTGCAGCGGGCAAAATCAAATATGACCAAAATTTTGATAAATTTCCAAGGACTACCCAAGATATTGGTAGATTTCCTAAGGTCTGCCCAAGATTTTGGTAGATTTTCCCAGCGAAATCAGATCTTTTTCAACAGTTCCCAAAACCATGGAACTTATGCAGCCATCTTTTATATTGAATACAGCTTCAAGTTGTTGATAGTGACCAAGATATCATCTCTAGTTGGTTTTGAACGGGATTTTAAGCTTCTAGTTAGCATCAAATGGTACGGTTTTATGACCAAGCTAAGCCTCCACGTCTTCGCCACCCAACCCTTTCTAGCCAAGTCGGGCAACATCGTCGTGCCAAGCTTCACTAATGCGAATACCTCGCTTTGCCAGATAGGCAACATTCACCCATCCATGCCTGCTAATCCACTACTCTCATAGTTTATCCAGAATATCCCCATGAGCTTGGATTTATGGGTTTATTGATGACCTGCATAAAGTAATAGTGTTCAATTGATGAAAATGATGAAATTTAATAAATAAGGAAATAATAAAGGAAAAAGACTTCCTTATATATTTATGGCGATGCAACCATGTACTGCAGCATTAGATACCGCTGAGCCTAGCCACGTATCACAACATTAGATATTATTGGGTCTAACCATGTATTACAACATCATATATTGCTAGGCCTTTTGGTAAATGTGTGTTGAAGGCGTTAAGGGGTGCTTAGATCGAGGCAAGTCTTGGTGATGTGGGGACTACCCGAGTCCGAGTTTAACCTTTTACAAAAACATTCGTCAACACCTGGGTTCTATGGAACCTAGTGGCAAAAAATTTTTAATTTTTCTTTTTTTTGTTATGGGTTTTGTTGTTTGATGATGATGATGATAAACCTAGCAAAAGTAGAGATTGGTTGAGATGAATAGATTGGTTGGGATGTTAGGGTTTCTAGAAGTTGAAGAAAGGGAAGAGGAAAGGAAAAGGGAAAGGGAAAGAAGAAAGGGAGGAACGAAAAAAAAAAACTAAATTGTTAATGTAGAATTTCAGCTCACAAAGAATCCAAGTTGGAGTTGTTAACATGTCAAAAAAATCTAAGTTGGTGCTGATGTGTGAATGTATGATGGAGGCTAATGATGCACGTGCTACACGTGACCCTCTGGCGTTAAATTTTGCCTCTTTTCTCTAAACTCAAAACATATAGGGTAAAAACTCATATATTGTAATATGAGGGGTAAAATGCTCAAACCCAAAAAGTTGAAGGGCAAACGGGGGCTTTTGCCAAATCCGCACCGATTGTGCCAGAAAAGCCAATTCTTACTTCCAAAACCATTAAAAGTGCTGTACCTTTACATTTTTATCCCCTCTGCATAGCACCGACAGGCGACAAGTTGCCCCATCTGGTCCATTGACGAGCAGAGGCATCACCACCTCTTTTCTCCATCACAACCACACAATTCCAATCGAACGGGGCCTAGAATATCCGTCAGTCGTGATTGCCGCAAAATATCTTGTATGCGGCAAAGCTGGATGTCATGGCAGTCTTCGCTTCTGGGCCGTATTCTTGCTGGATGCCAATCAATTAAATTAATTAACACTGCTAAAAAATTATTAACACAGCACTTACCTTTGATGGGTATGAGCAAAAATTTTACTTTTTCTGTTTGTAGTCTTCTAGACGTGATAAAGTTGAGAACTTTGACCTTAAAAGGAGCTTTTGGTTCTCTCTAGAGAGGTAGGGAAATGTGGAAACAGATAGGACTGAGAATGAGGGTTTGGAGTTTTCTGGTTTCTGGGGTTTTAGTTTCATGGGTTTTGAGCGTGAGTGGCAGTGGTGGTTCTCTGCCACCGTGTGAATTCCCGGCAATTTACAACTTCGGTGACTCGAATTCAGATACCGGCGGCATTTCAGCTGCATTTGTTCCAATGCCACCACCATATGGTGTCCCCTACTTCCATAAGCCAGCGGGTAGGGATTGTGATGGCCGTCTCATCATCGACTTCATAGGTAAAGAACCTTTTAAAAGTTCATAGTTTTTTTAATGGTCTCATGTAAACTACAAAGCCCATGTTGAGAATGATATTCCTGTTAAAAAATATGGTCTGAATGCAGCTGAACGCTTGAAATTGCCATACTTGCATGCTTACCTTAATTCCCTGGGTGCAAATTTCCGGCACGGTGCCAATTTTGCCACCGGGGGATCAACCATTAGGAGGCAGAATGAGACCATTTATGAGTATGGGATAAGCCCTTTTGCTCTGGATATGCAGATTGTGCAATTTGACCAGTTCAAAACAAGGGCCAGTGAACTCTATAAAGAAGGTTTGTGTACAATAAAATTTGCTAAAGTGAGTGATTTACCCTTTTGAATTGTTCAGCCATTTCTTGACATAGTTTACGGTTCTTGTTATGATCTTGTAGCTAGGGATGCATCTGATAAAGAAAAACTCCCAAGACCTGAGGACTTTGCAAAGGCAATTTATACCTTTGACATAGGCCAAAATGATCTTTCTGTTGGTTTCAGGAAGATGAGTTTTGATCAACTCCGAGCCACAATGCCAGATATCATCAACCAGTTAGCTTCTGCAGTTCAGGTAAGTAGCAGTTTCTTTTTCTTCATTAACAATCTGCAGCATCATCAAAGATTCAAACTTGTGTGTTTGGCAGCTTGTTAATAATTTTCCTATCAAATATGTCAAGCAGTTGGTTTTATAACAGCAATTTATGGAGATATATAGCTAGTTTCGATTCTGATCATACATGGTGATAATCATCACATGGAAGAAGATATAACTCACAATTTTTCTGTATATATCAGCATCTATATCAAAAGGGAGGGAGAACATTCTGGATACATAACACAGGCCCGATTGGATGCATGCCAGTGAATTCATTCTACCTGAGTAATCCTGCACCGGGATATCTTGACCCCTATGGTTGTGTCAAGGGTCAAAACGATATGGCTATGGAGTTCAACAGGCAGCTTAAGGACAGAGTGATCAAACTTAGGACAGAGCTCCCAGAAGCTTCAATTACGTATGTGGATGTATATGCTGCTAAGTATGGATTGATCAGCAACGCGAAGCAACTAGGTAATGCGTTTCTTACCATTAAGATTTCCAACTAACCTGGCGTTGACACAAGCTAATGTAAATGGAATTGGGGATGATGGCAATTACAAACTGCTGTGAAAAAGATTCTTGTTGGGATTGGTATTGATGGTTATTCATCTCTATATGCTTACAGGGTATGCTGATCCACTGAAGGTCTGCTGTGGGTATCATGTCAAATTTGACCATATCTGGTGCGGGAACAAGGGAAGCGTCAATGGGTCTGATGTGTTTGGTGGTTCTTGTAAAGACCCTTCTGTGTCTATAAGCTGGGATGGAGTTCATTATTCACAGGCTGCAAATCAATGGGTTGCTGATCATACACTCAATGGCTCATTAACAGACCCACCAATTCCGATCTTGCAAGCTTGTCATAAGCAGTAAGATCGTCTCTTGAGTAATTTAAGTAGTTTTCCATACTGAGGTTCAGTGTGAAAATATTCAGTATGTAGTACAAGAGAATAAGCATAAGACTTATGATTGTGATTGAGCTTGGGGTCATGGTGAAAAAAAGACCTTGAGAATTGTAATGCGTTGTATTGCACCTTCTCCGAAAATATGATATTGGAACATTTTATTACATCCTTAAAATACGTGGGAGTCATCAAGCTACTGGTTCTTTTATAATATGCATCAAGAATTCAAAAGTGGTAACCAGAAAGTTGGTACCAGGACGAGAACCGTAAAAATAGACAAGCAGTGTATATGGTACATGTTGGGTTCAGGTTCATAATTCCATGACACCAACTCAAGATTTATACACATCTATAAAGTATAAACAGATTTCACTGCCGATGCCCTTCTGGCAGGGCAACCACCTTGTGGAAGGGTACAGCCCTCTGAGGCAAGGATCCATCCTCCTCATCATCATCAAATTCCAATACATACCTGCACAGGCAAAAATGTGATTATGCACAATACCCTAGCAGCTATATTGTATAATCAAGACATTAGGAACTAGAATAAGGAAACAATCTAAACACGGAACAAGGCATTTTATAATGGGGAAACTTTGGCAAGTAACATGATATAAAACCCACTATGTCATATGTTTTTTGTTTAATCAAATTGTGGCTGGTGAATTGATGTGCATCCAGTCAAGCACAGAAAAGAGTAAAACATGAAAATGTTGTTTAAGTTGATTGCTCTCTTATTCGGCTAACCAGGGGTGGAAAGAACGATGTCACTTACTCTTCTGACTTGTTCTGGAAACATACATAATGATCGGCAGCAGACCCCATGCATGCATAATACATTTTGTAGTCAGTTCCACATCTCAACAAAAGTATTCAACAAAATAAGTAGTGATATTAAGGGTGAATGAAAGCTATAGTAAATGTAAGGTAAAAAAATTTGGGTGTTAAGTGCATCCACATGGATGAAAGGAATAGTCACCTTTCGAGGTGTACTAATGACAGTTGCCTTATAAAGTTCGGTAGTTCCTGGATAAACAGCCAAAACAGGTCTTCCAGTCGCGAATTCTGTGATGGCCGCAGGATTGTTTCGCTTGGGAAAAGGTATGATACAGGACATAGGCAGCTTGTACTTTCTGAAAGTCACAATAATACAAATTAAAATCAGATGGAGTGCTTTCACCATCCTTGATCATTAGCTAAGAAGAAGAGATTTCAAGAAACAAATTTTAACTAGCAGTAGGGATTTTCATTAAAACTAAATAAATAACTAACTCGTTGGAATGAAGTAGATTCATCTTCTCCTACCAACCCACACATCCCACACATGGTGAACTCTAATATACAAGTGGATTATCCGTAGGCGTAAAAAATTCCCCTGATCAAGGTCTCACCCCACCCCATTGAAAGTTTGAAACCAATAAGACAGATGGGACCAAGTCAACCATACCAACAAAAGAAGAAATAAGGAGCAACTATATAATGTAAATTGATTGGCAGGATATCAATGCACAAAAAACTACCTTTGGCCACTACCCTCTTCATCTTCACCTGGCTCCTCATCAAGTACATCAAATCTGCACATGAAGTTGCAACTCAGGTTCAAGAGTAAAGAATATTCCTAATGAAAAACTTCTGTCTTACACTTTGATGTGTTCCATCATAATTTATGAAGTGAATGAAAGTAGCTCCCATAGGGTGGAAAGAAACTAAATTGCTTAGAAACACCTTGCAGTGGCTTCAAAACAAGATTATTGAAGTTGGTTGATTTCATTCACAAGTTAAGACTCTTTTAGCTGATAAAAAAAAAAAATTTAAAAGACCGTGTCTTCTTTTAATAAAGCACGCTGGATTATTACTTAAAACTTTATATTTGTGTTTGCACGTGATGCATTCAAGCATACAAACATACATGTGTAATGAAATACATCTGCATATTTTACATAACTATACTGTTCTGGTTTTAAGGTTCAGAAGGGGGGATACAAACACTCTCTATCAATGATCTTGAGGTCCTAAATATTTAACAGAGATCCAAATTACGCTAGAGGCTAGACCTGAGCAATATCACTAGTGTTAGAAAAAAAAGAAAAAAGAAAAGTAAATTTAGGAAAACTTTAACATAGGAAGTATACTTACTCCTTGGTTTCCCTATCAAAATGTGTAACTTTCGCTACAATCCACACATCCTTTTCAGCATTCTCTGCTGTGATTCTCGCAGCAACCTGAAAATAACAGAAAATTACAAGCTCCTCAAAATGGAGACATGATGGAACTCCACCATTCATAATTCCAGCAGAGATGATGGGATTTTCACTTAAACCAATAAATGTCAATAGATATTACAACAACTCACTCCACAGAGCTACATGCACACCATTTTCTTTTTTGCCATTCTTAATGCTACATGATCTACCTGTTCACCCTTTAGACCAGCACAAGTCTCAACATGATTTCGCATAGAAGGCAAAAGCCTGGAGATATCTGAATCACTCTTCATTCTTTTCCTTCTCTGATCATTTCCTTCTGCAACTTATGTAATGTCAGTTTCAGGAGTAAAAGTTCAAATGTTTCCAGATGATAACACAATCACCTTATGCACAACCGTAAAATGTATTTTATGTGGTAGCTTATGCTTCCCGTTACCAAAAGAACATGCATTTAATAATTCCACACAGAAGTGCATAACCTCTCATGCTTATCAATTGAAATTGACAACTAGGTTGGAAATATCTCAAATAAACATATCATGCAGTCTACAGATTATGCATAACATGTACCTAATTTTCTCCGTTGCTGCCCTGGAGTTCCAGAGGGTAGCAAAGCATCAAGTTGATTGAGTAAAGCAGTTGAGACTCTGCATATCAAGAAACAACAAGGTGAGGACAAACTAAAGTACTAAACAATTGGGATCCATAGCCCAACTGAAATGTGCAAAATAAAAACCAGCCCAAGTACTGCCTTAAAAACCAACTTTTATCCAACATAGTGGGAAAAGAAAAGGAGGATTGAGAAATATCAGGCATACAACGTACTTTACTTCCTTTTCTGAAAGATCTTTAGCCTGAATATATAAACTTTTCAGCTTCAACAATGTCTCACCAAGCTTCTCAATTACTTCAGGAGCTGTGTTAACATGCAGGAGATCAAGATTAATAAACCACCACCAGCAATAATGAGTACATTGGCCAAAAGAACAAAAAACATCTTTCTATCAAGACAGTGTCTTTAACAAACATAAGAGAGTGCCACTTTTCCTCAATGTCCCATGTTTCGAGCTTTGCTTCGGTTACTTCCAAGCCATAGTGGATAAATTTGCAAAATAAAAACAGAAAAGATAACCCTCTAGAACTTGTGCCACATGATTCATGTAGGCAGCTTCTTACTAACATTTGTTCTAAAAAAAGAGCTGAAAACTAGATTCAATTTTCACTTGTAGATTTTATTACTAATCTTTTCTGCCATCTAAAACAAATCAGGGTTTAATTCAGATAAAGAAATCTGAAACAATTTTCAGACTACCACCTTGTATTTATTTTATCCGTTTTCTTGTTTTTAAACTAAATATGCTGGATGATAAGGATAAACATAAGATCAGTAGTATGCTTCCAAAGGAAAGTATCCATATTTTATGGCTTTAAGCCATGTAGAATTCACATCATTTTGCTGTTGCTAATGTACATAAGATCAGTAGCATGCTTTAATGAACATCATTCTTCTTCATTTCATTTCAGAAAACTTCAAAAGCATCTTAAATGACGATCAATGAAATGCATTAACATTCTCAACAAGTGACATTAACCACTCTAAATATGGAATTCCAAGCATATACAAAAGAGTTAGAATTGATGCATCTGCTTGGGAAAACAATTAATTTCCTTTTCAGTGGAAAAATTTTCCCTTGAGCAAAGTTTACAGCAAATGATCATTCTGCAACCACAAATGCATAATCATGCCAGAAAGCTTCAAAAGCAAATATGAGCTTCAAAAACCCACTTAGATCATAAACTCATAAACCCAACTTTCTCCACACCATTTGCCTGAACATAACCTCAATCTATCAACTGTTCAAATAAACTACTTTCCTTTCTTTTAAAATAATTAAATTCTCTTAACCCGCAAACTAGAAAATTAATCACCCATCAAGCATGCTTCGAATTTAAGCAAATTCCAAGCAAACCCACCTCAAAAAACAAAGACTTTGAAGCACCCAACCCTCCAAAAATAGCATCAACACTTCCAAACACATCAATCTTTTAGAGTCATCAAAATTCAACATACAGATCATCAAATTTAGCAAGCAATTGCAGCATAATGTCATCACACAAGGAAAAGTAGAGAAGCTTACGAGCTCCGAGCTTCTTATGTATCTTGTTGATCTCCGAGAGCACCTCCTCCTGTTCTTTCCTTAACTGATCGAGCTCCTTGGAGATGTCCAAGATTCCGGAGATTTCCGGCGACGACATCGCTTCTGTCTAGCAGGAAAAGCGAAATACACCAACAATGTTGCTCCGACGGGATTACTTGGGAGCGAGCTCGCTCGATTTTATGGCAGACGTTTTTCGGTCATTTTCAGAAAGATGATTTTCTCGAGGTTAAAAAAAAATTACTGGATTTTCCAATTATTATTTATTCTTCTAAAAGATTTCAAACTGAGGAAAATATATATGTATATTTACATATATCTGGCTTCATCAATATATAAGGATGAATTATTGTTATTTAATGTTATATTTTTTAATATAATTATTTATTATATTTTTAAAAAAATTTATATTTTTTATTTATTAATAATTTTAAAAAATAATAATTAATTAAAATATAATATTATAAAATTAATAATTAAAAGTATAGCAATAATAGCACCAAATATATAATAGGTGTCGTGATAGATTATATTTTAGATTTGATTAAATTTCAACTTTGGTCCGTCATCGTTAAGGTTTTTATATAATTTTTATTTTTTTATTTTTTATGTACATTTTTAGTTATCAATTGTAAAAATATATTTTTTAATTTTTTCATCAATTAATTTATTAAATTTATTTATATATTTTTTATTTTTAAAAATTTTAAATTAAAGGATAAAAATATATATTGTAAATTAAAAAATGAAAAATATATATTGAGATAGATTTACTAAATTAACTAATAAAAATATTTTTAAAAAATATATTTTTCATAATTGATGAATAAAAAAAAGTACAAAAAAATGTTAAATGACAAAAACTATACAAAATTTTAAAGTTAAGAAATCAAAATTGATATTTAAATTTTAATTTTTTTTAAATATATGTCTTTAAAAAGAATTTTTTTATTTCAATTTCATAATAAAAAGTAACATTCTCTTATTTTTTAATTTATCTCACAATTGAACTTAATATCTTTTATTTTTAATAAAAAATTATTATTAAATTATTTAAATTATTATCATATATCTCTAAAGGTAAAAATTAAGAAATGTTATCATTAAATAATTGATGAATAAAAAAAGTACAAAAAAATATTAAATGACAAAAACCATACAAAATTTTAAAGTTAAAAAACCAAAATTGATATTTAAATTTTAATTTTTTCTTTAAATATGTCTTTAAGAAGAATTTTTTTTATTTCAATTTCATAATAAAAAGTAACATTCTCTTATTTCTTAATTTATCTTACAGTTGAATTTAATATCTTTTATTTTAATAAAAAATTATTATTAAATTATTTAAATTATT